GAAGGAGAAGGAGAAGGAGAAGGAGAAGGAGAAGGAGAAGGAGAAGGAGAAGGAGGAGATCTTTCTATGGATTGAGGAGATCCCCTCTCCAGACTAACCAGGCCCAGATCCCACAGTCTCTCCTCTTCAGGAAGATGCTCCAGAACCCTCCTCATCTTTGTGGGCTTCTTCTGAACCCTCTCCAGGCGTTCCTTGTGCTTGAACTGTGGAGACCAGAGTTGAACACAACACAGCAGGGCCAAGGAAAGGGGCAGGATCCCCTCCCTGGCCTGCTGGTCACGTTCTTCCCAAATGGAATCCCACGATCCCACTGCCCTCCTGGGCACACAGCTGGCTCGTGGTCAACTTGTCACCCCTTGCCTGCCCAGAGGAGGTTCCAGACAGACCAAAAAAATGTCAGGGAGGGTTAAAAATGGACTCAGAGTGCCCTGGATTTCTGTGTGAATTGCCCAGGGCGGGCGTGAGGATTTAAGGCAGCTCAGGATGCCCAGCCTTGACCAACCTGGAGGGGGTTGTACGTCCTAATTCCAGCCCCTGCTGCCATAAAAAGCCAGCCAGATTCCCAAGTGGAGCTCTCAGGCAGCTGAGCTGCTGCAAACGCTCAGTCCCTCCTCCCCTGGCTCTGCTCCCTCCCCAGCAGCGCCCTCACCCCCCCGGTGCCCCTCCGTGGCAAATCCCACCTTTCCAAAGGGAACTGTCCCACCTGGGGGGGGCCAGCACGTCCCACCCGCAGCCCCGAGCACCTCCACTCGGTGTGAGTGGCACAGACCAGGCGAGGAGACGCCGCAGGATGAGAGATCCCGCAGGAATTCCCGGGGTTTGGTGCCTGAGCCACCCCTGCTTCGCTCTCCCGACCCCTCCGGGACATCCCCCCTAATTCCGCTGTCTGCAGCACGAGGCTTTCCTGGGAGAGCCGGGGAGGCGACCACGGCCTTCCTCGCCCGGGGATCCCTTCTCCTGCTTTAATTAAACCCTTCCCGGGCCCTGCCCGGCTTCCCGGGGGTGGCTTTGCCCGCAGAGCTCCGGGCAGCCCCAGGCAGGTCCCTGCCCGGCCCCATCCAAGGATCCCGGCGGGATGTGCCGATCCACGGGCACGGGGGAGCAAATCCCCGGGGCTCTGCCGCGCTTGGAACCGGATCGATTGAATTTCAGCATCAGCGTTTCTATTTTTAATTCATCGAGGGGAAACGGCGGCTCGCCGGTTTCGGACGGAGTTTTTTTCCCCCCGCGGAGCCGCTTTTCCAGCAGCGTTCCCACATCCCCACTGCCGGGGCGAGAGCACCCCCTTGCTACCGGCCCCGGCTCCCTTTTCCAGCGGGATCTGGGCTCCCGTGGGCGCCGCGGGGCCGGTGAGTCACCGCCGGCGATGGCTCGGGGAGCAAAACCCGACAGAGCCCGAGCGAACCCGGCCCAGCCCAACCCAGCCCCGGCCGCTCAGGCCCTTTCAAGTTCCCAGGCTGGAAAAAAAAACACGGCGGGGGCTGGAAACGCATCAACACAAACAAGCTCCGAGACGCAGCCGATCCCCTCGAGCTGCTCCTTTTGGAGCGCTTATTGCTCACGTCGGTGAATTCGGGAGAGGGTTTTTTTTATTGCTCACGTTGCTGAATTCAGATTTTTTTTTTATTGCTCACGTCGGTGAATTCGGGAGGGTTTTTTTTTTTTATTGCTCACGTTGCTGAATTCAGATTTTTTTTTTATTGCTCACGTCGGTGAATT